ACTAACTGAGCAAACCCTCCCTATCACCCCCTCAGAAGTCCGCTTATGGAGAGAAAGATGTTAGCAATAATCCAATCTAAGGCGAAAAGCTACCTTAGTATCCCTCGACAGTTCCTACTCAAAATCCATCCGTTCTACTCTACATCATTCTGAAGTGCAATCCTATCGCCGTATTGATTTCACACATCATAACTATCCGGTCTGAAAATTTTACCTTGAATTATACTGCTTAAAAGGACATACCGGTAACTCACACCATACTTTTAACACAATAACTGAACATCATTCTTGTCCACGGTCAAATGCAACGTAACCACAGGAAAGTCCATGTAAATCACGTGACCAATGAATGCGTTGGCCCTGGCTGTGTTGGTATATTTCTGTGTTGTGACCGTTTGAAAGCTAATGTAGTTGGTGGAACGACAATGGCACTGCCGCACGGAGGATGTTACGAGTCGTAAGCAGAGTGAGTTGAAAAGATTCAAACAATCACCGGTCGGAACCAGCCTAGACAAGACACGTCAGTAGAATTCAGAGGAAATCTTGATTGAAAAGTGAGAAAGCTCAATAATTTGTGTGCGTGTTTAAGCGTGTCAGCTGATTTGATTGAGGTGATAATTGATTGTTGCGAATATGGCGTTGAGACAGTGCGCTCTCGTTGGCAGCCGCGCAAAGCGAGAGAAAGAGGGAGAGTCGGCAGCCTCATTCATCATTCTGATGCTGAATGATAAAAATTATTTTTGGTGGAACCGGATGGATTGACAGAAGTTGATCACCAGAAGGACCGGTGTCTCCACAAACGGCACTGGAAAGTGTTCGAAGCGATCCACCTTTTCACCATTGGACATTTTCGTGCTCCGAAATTAGTTTTTTATTCAACATAGTCTCACTTCGTTGATCTTATATTGTTCCTTATTATTTTAACTGTTACGCGTGAGAAAGAAATTTATGACCTATGTGTGTTGCGTAATCATGTTTTAAAATCATGCATTAGATGTTCAAAATGCTGAGTGTAATTCTGTCTTCGAAGAAGCATTCGTTTCGAACAAGGATTATGAACTCTGACCAAAGTTCCTTCCAGAATAAACGTAACATATTTTATATCTCCGTGTTATACAAAACATTAGCCAATAAATATTTCTACTTTGGGATGTGCTATAATTGTAACACTATCAGTGCCCCAGTGTTCTGCTGCCGTGCACCGGTATGGTAGAGAGAGAGAGAGAAATATTTCATTTTTCCTATGTGATTACATGACTGAAATCAAGGTCACTGAATCCGTTAAGAGCCACTCAGCTTTGTTTACGCTCTATTTATATCAAATAAGTAAAACTGTCGTATTTTGCCTTGATCGGTTACTAAAACTTATGGAACAACCCTCGGGGTTCATTCGATGGACTTTTGTCCGTTTCATTGGATAAAAACGCACAGTGAAAGTGCAGCTAGCGATTAGTCATTGATCGGTTTCCGAAACCAGTGCGAAAAAAACAAACAATTATCTGCGTCGGATTATTTCGGTCTACAGAGCAAAACGTACGTGAGTGGTGGCAAGATAAAATTGGAAACAGTGATACAAAATTATCTTGTTTACATCCGCGTAGATTTATACAAAGATAGCCAGAGCTGTGGGTGGATGGCGGAGGCGGGAGGAAGATATTGAACCGTTAGGCAGTTGCGCAGAAAGGAAAAATAAAACACAATCAGGTGTCCGGGAGAGAAAAGTGTCACAACGTGATCACAGGCAGTTCCGTCCAGACCGGTTCTAATTTCACTGGTGGAAAGAAACCATAAATAGGTTTTGATCCAAGCCGATTGAGCACAAGTGAAAATGGGTCGATCGACAATTCTGAATGGGATTCTCATACACTGATCAACCGGATACAATTAATGAAGGCTAAATGACAAACCAGTAATGTCTCGAAATGAATACGATGCGCTGTTGCATATATCCCAGCTTCATATCGTCGAGAGATAGCTTCCAAATTTTCAACCAGCTGTAAGAATCGCGGTCCAAGCCATCGTTCGTATGTCTGATTCTCCCAGGGAATTCTCTGCAGACTTTCTGTGTCGTCGGAAAATATCAGATCCTTGTGACCAAATCCAGAATCGAACATTTGAAAAGTGGAACTCCTTCGGGCGGTGAAGTGAAGTGAAAAAATAAAGCAAAACGAATACAACGATTGTTTGAGATGAGTGTATTCGGGACAGTGAACATGTTTATGGTGTTGCACATCAACTATGTGGACACTCCTAATCTATTTTGGGTGGCATAGAAGGCAGGAACTTGAAGCTATGCGAACCACGATTGAATACTACATGCTGTACCCATGAATAACACTGAATTTGTTTTAGAACAATGACTGAAGTTAACTTGAATGGACTGTTCAACCAGCGGTTTCCTGTGCCCGATGGTGTTTGTGCGGATTGCTTCAAGCAGACAAAGATCAGCTTTCAGTAAATTCGAAGTCGGTTTAAGGTAAAAAGAAACACTTGACCAACAGTTGTTAACTCTCTGAATCACATTCATGTTCGAGCCATTCATCTGAGCATGAGAAGGGAAAACTATGTACAGGGTTTATTTGTTACATATGACGGGATTAATTTTTACTCATGGGTCTTTCGAACGCATTTAAAAGTCTGTCAACTATACTTTTCAACTTCAAGTAAATCTAACCAATGGCATTCCATTGGAAACACTTAGCAGATTGTTGGTGTATCAACCGTCAAACGTCACCCATTGGATCGGGTCTGTCTAAACCCCACTGAAAGTTTCATAAGTGGGAGATAAGTCAGAAAGTTCTACCATCGTTGAAGTCAATATGCCGAGTATTTGAGAAATTTCGTAGACTTTTGAGCACATTTGCAATTGCAGTAGGCTGGTTTTCCATTTTACGTTTTCGGATAATTTTATACAGAACCAGGCTCCCGGTAGGCCAGGTTTTCCATCGCACGCGGTGATTAAAGGCAAATCAAGGCCGGCAGTTCATGCATTGTTAGAACCAAACGACCATGCAAAACCCGCAGACTAGGCTGGGCAGGTCGACATTTTGCATTTCGTTAGGGTGCAAATGGAAAAACTATCGACTACTGGGGTTTATCCTAGTTTAGTGAAAGCCCACAACAACAGATGGATTTATTTCCATTTCGGATAAAGGAAGAGTCATCTTTGATCCCAGTGGAGAGTGATCCGAGGGGAGAAACTAACTACAGGAGTCACACCGATTATCTTATGCATGCTAACTATCTCGTCAAGCGTGCCTTTCAATGTCAGAAATACGTAAGCAATCGCATTCGATTCAAAGGAATCGGTTTTATTCGAGAGAAACTCGGTCTCAATAGAATTTACTCATTGGGTTATTGTGGGCTTAGACTGACTCCACTCATGCAATGAATCATGATCACAATCACGTCTGGGCACGGTGACGGACTTATCGATCCATCTTGACGTGATTCGCTTGCTTACTCGTCTGATAAGGGTCAATTAACTCCGGGTTCGTTCATTCGTATCCATGAGACACACCCGATCAACGATCACAACCATAACGTTCCCGGATGGAACGGGGTGTGTGTGTGGGGGGGGGGGGGGGAGGGAGGGGAACAGCCCACCTCACGTCACCGAAACTTTCATCCTCGCTCGGTAACTCCCTCAAAAAGTAATTTTGTTTAGATGGTGAGTGTTTGGATTAGCCCATTCGAATTTGCACAGGCACCAGGCACTGTTGATGATGTTCGATGTGGGCTTCACTCCTTGGGAGATCGTTAATTCCCCACTGATTGTATTCATTTTGAATGCGATGGAAATGTTTGTGATAACCAACAAAGAGCACTGGACAGCTGTTTCGTCCTGTTTGGGGCTAGTCAGCAGTGCGTACTTTTTGTAACCGCGTACCTCAAGGATAAGGGTTTGAAGTCCCAGTCCGAAGAATCGCGGTTCGAGTCCTGACAGGGACACAAAAAGTACGCACTGCTGACGAGTCCCAAACAGTGATTTTGTTTGTTTACAGAGAAGTTAGTTCATTCGAACTGGACGGGGTTTAGATAGACCCGGTACAATTGGTAACATTTGGCGGCCGGAAAACCAATAATTTTCTGGAGTTCCCAAAGGAATGCGATTGGTTGGATTCACAACGGATTCACATATAGTTAAATAGACATGGAGTTCACTGTAGCCAACAGATTAAAACATTAATAAGGAAGAAAACATTGGCAATCAGGCATAGGTATTCGAGGTTTCATGATAAATAACCACCATAATGCTGAGTTCCTCATCAGGCTGTAAAGTTCAAATTAGTTCATAGGCATCGAGATCTGGTGTGCGTCCCACTCCGTTGAAATTCGGTAATTCTCCACAGGTGCTCTTCCTACCAGCGATTTCGATGACAGAGTAACAATAATCAGATCACGGGTGTCCTAATATAAAATAGACTGTAGAGGATTATGCTCCAATCATTACGTGCAACAAAACGCTCCAGCTACTTATGTTGTTAGCAACCGTTAGGCTGATCGATATGAGTTTGGGGATCATGCGGTAAAGGTGCTGGGTTTGTGTCTTGGCACGGGAATAGAAATACTACACTCTTGGTTTTGGTCTCAACAGGAATAAGACAACTATACAGTGTTCTGTATCGATCATTACACAAGAGCGTCCCCTCAACAAATGAAATCAAACAATACCGATTAAATTGAAAAGATGTTTGGTACCTTTTGATGAGTTCCAAACAGCCAGATAAAGTGAAATACATAGGTTAAAACTTCAGATAATTTTTGTTCCATTCAATTCGATGCGAATGCATTTGGTGAATATGCTGAACTATAGCTCTGGCATGTTTCCATGGAAAATTATCTCCAAAAAATTAAGCTCGAGAATTCCATTTATAGATAACCTAGTTTTTGGAAGACAATTCAATTGTTATTCTTGCTCATGTATCAAGGAGAATCAAGTATATATATACACTGGAACTCGATACCTCAAAACTTTCATCTCAATTTGTTGATCACCTCTTATCTGGGACAAACATTTTCATAAGCCCTGTGATAACCCAACTGAAAGGTAAACAAACGAGATGCAAACGGAAAATAATCACAACATTTCTCCACTTCTCCCACCTCTCCTACTCCAAGCTACATGCTAATATTAGTCCCAAAATCAACATCATGGCAATGGCATGTCAGTACTCCTGGCTGGCCTCATCATATTCATGAATCCTGCTATTCCGCTTGGTTCCTAGTTCGTGTACCAAATGAGCAAGATTACACAGACATAGATGTCAAATAAGGGTTACAGGTGGATGAATGCGGATGTCAATCAGTAAACTCCCGTCTACTTCATAAATATAAACTTTGAAGGTGGAACTTGTGAGAGAGAAAAAACAATGACCATCACTCTTCTGTAACACACGGGAGTGACAAACACTGTAAGTGATTACCCCCTGCCCCCCAAAAAATTAATATGCCTCAATTTCGAACTGCACCGATTTCCATTTACTAAATTGGATGCGTTGCAGATGCTATCAGTGACAGTGTTTGTATCACAAACTTACCACAACTGTTGTTCTCACTTTATAAATTTATGACAGAATGTAACGTCTGATCAGTGGTTTTATCACTGAGCTACCAACGAGAAAAGCAAAAACATCCAGCAGTTTTGGGGAAATATGATTTTTTCCACAGTGAACCAAAACCTGTGTCTATTTTCTCTTACTTGTCAGCCGAATAGTACTCTTGCCCGTATTGTAACAAACGCCACATATTGGTTCGTTCGTTTTCCGATTTGTAACTGGCTGTCACTATCACGTTGCTTGGAATCTTAGCCAGATTGCATGTGGCCCATTGGTTAACTTCCAATCGACGTCCGTCCGGACACAATAGTTCGTAGTCATCCTCGCGTAGATTTCGAGCCCAGTAGTTGGGATTGCTGTCCGGATCGGGCGTTCGAAATTGGAGAAAGGAAACACATGGGTTAAGAAAATGGGTATGCACTGATCTGTCAGACGATACATGAAAAACGAATCATCTCTCCCGATTTGTCAACTTTCACGTTTAAATGATTGTCCCATTAAATGAGTAGAGAATCATATGTTAATATGATTATTATGATAAATTTTAGTGTTTTTCGTTGGATCGATAGATCACCTTACAAATAGCGATGAGAATGATTACTGGAGAACACAATGAAAGAGAAACTCTGTGATGCAATTCAAAAACAACCAATAAGGCATTCCCACGATGAATTACAACACTTTCTTCTGACCAATTCAAACCGTGAGGAAGACAGAAAAAGTAGAAGTAGTAGCAGCAGCAGTGCTATAAATCCACAATGTGGTGCCACGGCAAGGAGAGTTATTCATGCAGATAACAGCATAGGATAGGTGTAATAAGGTATTATAGAAAAAACATACAATTAGCTACAATTCCGTAATATTTTTGTGATCTACTCCCCCGGATCCGAAAATCTGTTTGTCTGTTCGACTTTTGCAATATCAAATTCTTTGATCCACTCGTGTATGCCATGGGAATTCAACAACCGCTTGTTGATATATGCAAACTACNGTAGTAGCAGTAGTAGTACCTAAATGCAGATAGAGATAGAGAGTCGTTACATATTGTGTTGAGCAAAATCAGTGCACGAACAGTATTCCAATTGATTCGATCCAGTTGATTTGATTCGAAGCTAGGTGTGACCGTGATCGTTTTCGTTTGGTTCAACGTAAGCAGATCAAAATTTGAATCAGGTGATCTGTTTTGTCTCATCAAGTGTTATAACAGTGGTGGTTTATCGACCAGTGTTAAGTGATGAAAACCAAAACGTAACACTGATGGTGTTTGTATGAACCGTGGGTTTTCTATTTAATTTTTCATGACATCAGTATGTCGCGGGTTAGCCCATACCTCATATAAAGTCACAGGTGCAACTGAGACTTCGTATCCGCTTCCCGCATCATTCCACGGTCCTGTCGGGCCCTGGTTCTGTTCAAGGATTCCAACTATGTAGCGAAATCAATAATTTGCCTGGATTTCTATTCTATTCTTTCCAAAATTAGACGAATTGCGTAAATTAAAATTGTGGTCAGGTTTTTGTTCGGGACGCGACGAATCTCGATTGTTTTGGCAGTTAAGTGCACCATCCATATTTCAATTTCGTTTCCGCGTATAATTACAATAATTTGTCAAATCTAACAAACACCTGATCCAAATCGTTGAAAAGTTGTCATTGATACACCAAAGTGATGGATGATACATCATCAACTCGTCGATAGAAATCGATGATAAAAGATCACAGACATTATGCGACCTCAGTAGTTGGTGATATGACAGCAGAATGCCGAACCGATATCTGTCAAGGGGAAATTTGTCGGTAAATGGGCTCATTAGGTGAAATTAAATTAATAAGGAGAAATTTTTGTGATTTGTTGACAAATAAGTGCTATGGGATGCGGCGAGTATTGAAAGATAATTTTTCCAGAGATGTGTGGTTTATCGTGATCATAAATTGTCATTCCCAGCCAGTTTGCAAAGTGAGGATTTTGAGAAACATGATGCTTTTTCATCGGTTGGTTCATTCTGCCGGACGGTTAGCTCAAATTCCAACGGTCGTTGCGCATTTATTTCTATGACATTGTGTTGCAATCACCACCTGGGGTATTGAGGACCATTCAGCAGTTAGTGTTTTCGTTCTTCTGCCAGTATTCGCACAATAACTAGGAGACTTTAACCTTAAAGAACACATCCAAGGGTCAGCAAATTGATTGAAATTGGTGATTTTGGCCAACTCAGGAGGGGGGGGGTAGGCTTGCAGCAGCTTGCTTCGCAATAGCAATGCCTGATCTATTGTGCATTTGCCACCTCGGGGAAACCGCATCGCTACCTACTGCCTGATGATTCGGCGCTGCTAATTAGTCGTATAAACTATGTGATAAATGATAACCAAATTCCGGAGTATAATATCATACGTAGATTGAGCAACAGAAAATCTCGTGGTATTTTATTCTCATTATGGAACGAAGACAATGCCCAAACCCTGGATGAATATTCCACAATTTTCGAGCTTAACTTTTTGATGATGATAAGCAGCTGTGCTGTTGTCGGGATCAATACCATGTCTGAGGCCTTAAGTGGCTCGTTACGTCGAGTTTCTGGGTTTAGAATGTCAATCGCTTTCAATGAATGGTAGACCCTCGTGACTGTGCGTGGACTTTCCTTCCGTTGGTGATCAGAAAATGCCGCATATTAGCCAGATGAACAAAGCGACTGTGGTTAACCAAGCCTCCGAAAGAACGTCATTCAAGGACCGACGCGTAACGGCTTCAAGACAATCATTCAGAAGCCGACAGTTTCGATCAGTCAAAGTTTATGCTATCCAAAAATGAGCCTTATGACTAAACTAACGAACAGTGACTGTTTATTCTGTTTAGCCGTTACTATTTACTTTTCTTACTATGCAATCCAATCGATTTCTTTCCATAAACTATCCACTAATTCTGCAGTCCTAATCCTGCATCTCATTGACGGTAGACTACGCTAGATAACCACTGATGCGATCCTGTTACTGAATGGCGATGGAGATCTTTGGTTTGTGATTTGTGATCCGTGTATAGTCTGTTGATGACGACGATAATGATGATGATGATGATGATGATGATGATGATGATGATGATGGAACCGATTTCAATCATCGAAATCGAATGACGCAAATGTAGCACTATATATTTTACCTAAACGGAACGGATTAGAAGCAATTTTTCGGAGAAATTTCCATAATGATATCTAACTATAGGTAAGCGTTTACAGAGCGATCACACTGTATGATTAGCGGTGTTGATCAGTTGAACCGGAAGCACAAAGGATATCCACACACACACACACACACACACACACACACACACACACACACACACACA